CTCCTCCTCCTCTTCGTCTGAACAAGCAAGGGAATGGGAACATCATCATAACTCGCTTCGCGAGAGGTCTGAATCTCTGAACTTCCTCCTCCTCCTCCTCCTCCTTCTCCTCCTCCTCCTCCTCCTCCTCCCCCTCCTCCTCCCCCTCCTCCTCCTGGAGAGGAAGGGGGAACGACAAGGTATTCGACCTGACCTAAGGAGCGATAGATAAAGAACGAAGCCTCCTTTTTTCCAAGTGGTGCTAGGAAGTCCGAAGAAACACCAAGGGGGGCGCGCCGCAAGAAAGGCAGCGGAACGCATTCAGACCAAAGGAACGACCGAGCTCCTTTTGAAAAGTAAGCGTTCCTTATTCAAGCCGGACCCTGTAGGGGGGGAGGGGCTGGCCGCGGGGGACGCTCTAGATAGAAGAGAATAGCACATAGCAGAAAGGCAGAAACTCGTGGCGCTCCGCGCGGATTTCTTGGATCCGCGCGGGGCCCCCCTCCCTGGCGCGCGGAGCGCGCCAAGGGCGGCGCCGCTGGGGACCTAAGAAATCCGCGCGGATCGCCGAACACTGGTGTTCATGCCGCTTTTTTATCGACTGGAACGGATTTGCCCTCGTCCTGGCCCCGCCCGGTCATACTCTCCCCCCCTTTGCACGCTTCGGCATTCTTGCCTCTCGCCCGGCTGTATCTGGCCAGGCCCTGGCTTGCAGAGCCTCTGTCCCCTGGGTGCTGGCAAGGAAAGGACATGTTCGGGGGGGGACCCGCTCAGGGGGGAAGCATCGACGCGGAATCGGGGATACATCGCCGATAGATCGGCGATAGGCTCCAGACAGCAAGCCCCCACGCTCTTAGGCGGGGTGGGACACTCCAGTCGGCGATCAATGGGCGATTGGGGGTCGACGCGTCCCCTCTATGCCTATCCCCCTTATCGTCGCCCCTGAGAGGCGCCGTAGCGAGTGACTGACGCTGGTCGCGATGCGAGTTCGGATTCTAATTTGCGAAGCCCGACGAGCCCACTTGGCTCGAATCTGAAGGTTCGGCCATACTTGCCAGAGTATATGAGATGTGACTGGTCGACTCGACGGGGATTTGTCGCCTCTGCGGCATTCCCGACTCAAGTCGTGAAGAGGGAGGAGCATGCAGGAACGATGGTCGGGAGGAGGCAAATGGGGCCTTCGGTGGAGCTCCCTATGGGGCCACGAAACGTGTGAGGGGTGTGCCGAAATGGAGGGTGGAGCTGCATGGGGTCGCGCGATGGGGCCGTCAGTGGGGCTCCCTAATCATGGAGCCACGAAGCGTGTGAGAAGGGGGCACCGAAATAGAGGGTGGAAGTGCATGCGGGCGCTGCCACTGGGTCCTTCCGTGGAGCTCCCTATGGGACCACCAAACGTGTGAGGGATGAACCAACATGGAGGGTGGAACTGCATGCGGGCGCTGCCAGTGGGGCCTTCGGTGGATCTCCCTACAGGGCCACGAAACGTGTGAGGGGTGCATCGACATGGAGTTGAAACTGCATGTGGGCGCTGCCACTGGGGCCTTCGGTGGAGCTCCCTATGGGCCACGAAGCGTGCGATGGCTGTGCCGAAGTGGACACGCGGAGGGCAAAGGCAGGGATGAGAGGAGGGAGGAGCGGGAGGAGCGGGAGGAACGGGAGGAGGAGGAGGAGGAGGAGGAGGAGGAGGAGGAGGAGGAGGAGGAGAGGAGAGGAGGCGGGGCGCTGTCTCTTCAAAACGAGGACCCAACACAACAGGAAATGGGAGTCCCACAAGGGGGACGACAAGGTTCGGCAGCCGTTTCGCCGGAAGCTTCCTCAAGACTTGTTATCAAAGATCGCGCCCTCGCCCCCATGCCGGCGAGTCGCATGTTTTTGGTCCAGACGGCCACGGTCCCTGGTTACATATACACTGATTGGTGGCGGCATCCGAACCCTACCCCCGCCGCCCATCGAGTTGCCTGAATCGTTCATCGGCGAGGGTAGGGTTCGGATTTCACCGCCGAAATGAGGTGCACCTGGTCGTGCTTGCAGTCAGCGCGAGCGTTCTGTGCCCCTGCGGCTGCCATGCGCGTCGGGCCGTGTCCAGCACCGCGTACCTCCCTCCTCCTCCTCCTGCTCCTCCTCTTCTTATTTGTCTTATTATTATTCTTCTTCTTCTTCTTCTTTTTCTTATTCTGCTTCTTTTGTTTTATGTTTCTTCTTCTTCTTTGTTCTTCTTACCAGTCTGGAACAACGCATCACGTGCACATCCTAGCCTGCCCACTGCTACATGCAGCGGCTCATTTACACCCAATACCGTCGTGAAAAGTACCTCGAATGCCCACTCCAAGCTCAGTGCCCCAGCCGAAAAAATAATGCAACTCACCGAGAAACGTGCCACCAACGAACAACTGATTTCTGCCGGTTTGCGCTGTATTCGTCCTCCTCCTCCTATTCCTCTTCCGCTCCTGTACCCTCCTCGCGCGTGCCTGCTCCCCTTCCTCCTCCTCCTCCTCCTCTTTCCCCTCGTGCCTCTCACCTTCCCTGCTCTCCGGCTCCCGTCCCTCCTCCTTCCCCCTCCTCCTCCCCCCCTTCCCCCTCCCCCTCCTCCTCCCCCTCCCCTCCCGCCCCCCCCCGCTCCTCCACCACCACCTCTCCTCCTCCTCCTCCCTCCCCTCCTCCTCCCCTCCCCTCCTCCTCTCCTCCTCCTCTCCTCCTCTCCTCCTCCTCCTCCTCCTCCTCCTCCTCCTCCTCCTCCTCCTCCTCCCCCTCCCCCTCCTCCTCCTCCCCCCCCAGCCCCGACGGTGGGGGCCTGGCACCTGTTCTCATGGTGGCAGCGCCGCACACTCCTCGGGGCACACTGTCAGTGTCAATTGCATGCGGCGGCTGGGGGCACATAAACCGGCTTTCGTCGTTCTTGCACCAGCCACGTGGCACTTTGCCCGTGGCAGCGGCGCGTTAGCTGCGCCCGTGACCTGGAGATGGGTACCAGGCACGAGGGCTGTGCATTTGGTTGAGAGGCGGGGCCATGTGGCCCGCAAGTCCCTTGGGACCTTGTGCCCGCTCACCCTGAGGTACAAACCCATTGCACATGCCATCCGATTCGGCAGGGGTGACGGTCGGGAAGTACTGCGCGGTGACGCGGTGAACCTGCTGTCCCCCTACGCACTACGCCGTCTCGGTTGGGCAGCGAGCCGCTGAGCGACGAGGTATCTGCCTTTCCCCTGACCGTCGGTGCTGGCGCCTGCGGGCCCCTTCCTCCTGTGCGGGAGGCCGAGGGTGACGGTTGAGCCTCGCTCGACGTTCACTTCTTGGATCTGCGACACTACGACACGACAACCCTCCCCCCCCCCTCCCCCTCCCCCTGCCCCTGCCCCTGCCCCTGCCCCTCCTCCTCCTCCTCCTCCTCCTCCTCCTCCTCCTCCTCCTCCTCCTCCTCCTCCTCCTCCTCCTCCTCCTCCTCCTCCTCCTCTCTACATTGTCCTGTACGTGGGGCTGCCTCGAGGCGGCGCGCGCTTGTTTCTCCGCCGCCGCTCCGGCTCCGACGCGCAGGGAAGGGGCGGGAGGGGGGTGCCAGGCCCGCCGCTGCCGCACCAGGCGGACGGAGACGAGCGGCTCGGAGGGAATTTGCTCGGACGACTCCACCTACTCTGGGTTTCTCAACGAGCGCGGGGTGTCCCCCCCCGACGGGGGTCAACCTCGCCTCCGCCGTCGGGCCGCGACGGGGGTCGGAGCGCCTGCGGCGCGCAGTGGCTGCCCGCGCCGGGGGTCAATGTGGGGCTGTCGGCGGGGGCGGCGCCCCCCCGACGCTCATAAAGAAACCCGGAGTGTCCGCCTCACCGATTCTTGCCAACCGGATCCTGGGCCTGGGATCGATGCCTCCCTGGCCCAGCCAGGAAGGCGTATGCCACGACCCTGGGCCCAGGACGTGCCCGCCCAAGATCGTTGAGGTGGATGGTTGACGTCCCCCGAACTGCTAGGCGGCGAGCCGTGAGAAGTGAGCTGTTAGCTCCCTCGGTCACCGTGCCTTCTGCATCCTGGCATGCCAAGAACGTGAGCTCACCCTGCACATAGGGCGCCCCGACATATGCGCATCCAGTGTCGACCTCTCCATCTTCCCCTCCGCCCTAATCTTCCTCTGGTCCTCTCCTCTTCCCTCGGAGGGGGAGGGGGAGGGAGGCACTGAATATGCATGTGTTTGGGCCTCCTTGTACTGACATCCCACGCGCACGCTGAAACTGGGGCTGAAACTGGCGCGCGTTCACATTGCAGGTCCTGTCTGCTTGATCTTGAATTCCTCCAAACCTTTGGCCGCTGCTCTCAACTCACTCCGGACACTCTTCACCTCGGTCGGCATGATGCTTCAGACTCGTGGCTCGGCCAAATCTAAGTGGCGATACCGACACGCAACCGGAGGGTCGGTGACGGCAGTGCTTCGAGTTTTGGTGGCACAAGCGACTCAGGAAGCAAACGCGACGGTGAACTATATCGCGGCTGATCACAAACACGCCATGATCGACATCGTGACGATGCCACCAGAGCTCATAAACCAATGGATGGGGCTGGTGGCACCTCCAAGCCGTACCGACATGAAGAGACTAACACGAGCGCGTGAACCGATCATGTAACCATGTGAACCATAATCGCAATCTCGATCGTATTACCTACAGTCACACTGACGGTAGGGATTGCAATTGGAATCGGTGTCATCCAGCGTGGATCCCATAACAGTGTGTTCTAGCAATACATGCTGCTGTGCAAACTATGTGGAGCAACCTATGTGGTGCACTCTAGGTGGTGCAACATGTGTTGTGTAATATCGGTTGGTTTGTCTATGTCATGCAATCGATGTGCTGCAACCCCCGTGCTGCAAAGCGACGCAGAGCAGCACGAAGCAAGGCACCGCAACGCGATGCAAATCAATGTAAAACAAGACCAAGGCACGCAGTGCAAACGAATACAGTACAAGGCAAGGCAACGCAATACGAAGCAATGCAAGGCACTGCGAAGCAACGCACAACATTGCAAAACCATGAGAAGCAACGCACAGCACTGCAAGGCAACGCCAAGCAACGCAAAACAGCACAAAGCAAAGCGAGGCAGTGCAAAGCAGATCAAAGCAACACAGCGCAGTTCAAAGCAAGACGACGCAGTGAAAACCAGTGCCAATCAACGCGAATCAATGCAAAATAACGCAGGGCAGTCTGTGTGGTGCAGTCTGACGGCGCCGACGAGGCGGCGGCGGGGCGGCGACGGCAGCAACATAGCCACCGAGGGCGGTACATGGGCCCAGCTCCTGTGGGAGAGAAGACCTCCCAAGTGCAAGCGCTGCTTGGGGAGAGAAGTAATCGATGAACTAGTGGCCCGTCAACTCGTGACGAAGACCTGCGCGCACATGCGAAACACAAAACTGGGCATAGCCAATAACGAACTTCATCATGTTGTGCGGTCGGTAACCCAAGAACCCTCAGCTGGAGCTAAGCCAACCGCCGTCTCGATCCACTTGTCCAAGTCTTCATCCGGATTCTTCTGCGCAGTGAAATCTAAAGGTACCTGCCGAGATGAAGCTTAGCGAACGCGCTCAAACGACCACTGTCGGCATGCTGGTCGATCTGTGACCAATGCATGCACGCATCAACCCTGCCATTCTGCATGCTTCATTGCCGCCAGACCATCACCAACCGGCATGAGGGATACTTGGGTGCCCATCTCTTTTTCTTCTTCTTCCCACTGTTACTCTTCTTTCCCCTCCTCCTCCTCCTCCTCTTCCTCCTTTCCCTCTTCCATCTCTTAGGATAAAGGCAAGCAGCGATGCAGCCTATCCGAGAAGAGACGAGGCGGCAGCAGTCGACCGCGGCGCGGGAAGGAACGAGCAGAACTGGCTAAGGAGAGCGAGCAACCTGGCCAGGGCCCAAGAAGGGCGGGCCCTCAAAGGGAGGGGCAGAAGGAGGAGCCCCTCCTCCCCCTGCTCCTCCTCCTGCTCCTCCTCCTCCTCCTGCTCCTTCTCCTCCTCCTCCCCTCCCTCCCTTCCTTCGCCCATCCTCCCCCCTCCCTCCATCGGGAGCTGCAACCCCAGGAGCACGCCGAATGGCCTCGGGCCACGCCCCCCCCCTTCCCACCCGTGCCACCTGTCCCTCCGCCCTCCCCTCCACGTGTGCGCCACTGGAGGCCTCCCACATGGGGTCCGAGCGTTCGGGGCTGGGCGTTGCCAGAAGTGCTCCCTGGCCCAGAAGGTGCCCCCAGGACTTCCAGTGAGACTCTCACGGCCTCCAGCGCACCCCCCACGAGGCCCACCGGGCCCCAGGGGCATCAAAATGGAGCAACATGCTGCGGGCACCTTGGGCCAGGGTCGGAAGCCGGGCAAGGGCTGCTAAATCCGTGGCTGCTAAAATCGACCTCCGGGAAGTTGTCTTCGTCCTTCCGGGAAGAAGCCCGTTGACCGTTTCGCGTGCCGCGCCTCATTCCGGGAAGTTGCTTTTTCCTTCCGGGAGGGCCGTTTTAGCAGCCACGGTTTTAGCAGCCCTCGCCCGGCGTCCGATTGGGCCAGGGGCACCTCCAGCAATCCCCGAGGTGGGGTCGGACGAGCGCGCCGCATCGCCGAGGCACCGCCGGTGCGGCCGAAGCCATGCCGCCGAGCTGCAACAGGAGCGGGCACGGCCGTCGCCCGTGCCTGCCTCGCATCACCCTCCTCCTCCTCCTCCTCCTCCTCCTCCTCCTCCTCCTCCGTACCCCACCCCGCCTCCACATTCGCCCTGGCGCAAGATGCTCCAAGCTGGCAGAGGCCCGGTGATGGCCACGAGACGGGTCCGAGTTGCCACGGGCGCCTTCCAGGGCGCCCCCGCAGAAGGCCCCAACCCTGCAGGAACCTAGAGAACATCAAAGGGGGAACGATAGGGGGAACCGTCTCGGGGGAGGAAACCTCGAGCTTGCCTCGGCGACGCATCGCCGATCGATCGGGGATGGATCCGCCTCCGCATTCGCCCCATTCCCCCTCGGGATTACGGCCGATTCCAACCTTGGGAACGGACTGATCTCAACCTGAAGGATTCCTACCGCATAGACCACCCTTCGGGTGATAAGGAGGTGAGGGGGGCGAAGGGACCACCGTCGCACTCGATCGATCTCACTATCGATATCACTATCGATCTCATTATCGAACTCATTCAATCGATCTCACAATCGATCTGGCTATCGATCTCACAGTCGATCTCACTATCGATCTCACATTCGGTCTCACTATCGATCTCACCATCGATATAACATTCGATCTCACAATCGACCTCACATTCGGTCTCACTATCGATCTCACTATCGATATCACTCTGCATCTCATTCGATCGATCTCACACTCGATCTCACTATCGATCTCACAATCGATCTCACATTCGGTCTCACTACCGATCTCACTATCGATATCACAATCGATCTCACAATCGACTATCGATCTCACTATCGAACTCACTATTGAAGTCATTATCGATCTCTCGTTCGGTCTCACTATCGATATCACAATCAATCTCACAATCGATCACACATTCGGTATCATTAATGATCTCACTATCGAACTCACAGCCGGTCTCACTATCGATCTCACAATCGGTCTCACTATCGATCTCACTGTCGATATCACAATGGATCTCACAATCGATCTCACGATCGATCTCGCAATCGATTTGACGATCGATCTCACAATCGATCTCACTATCGATCTCCCAATCGATCTCACATTCGGTCCCGCTATCAATATCACTATCGATATCACAATGGATCTCACAATCGGTCTCACAATGAACATCATCATCAACATCAACATCATCATCAACAACAACATCAATATCATCATCAACATCACCAACATCATCATCAACATCATCATATTCACCATCATCACCATCATCATCAACATCACCATCACCATCATCATCATCATCATCATCATCATCATCATCATCATTCATGATCATGATCATGATCATGATCATGATCATGATCATGATCATGATCATGATCATCATCATCATCATCATCATCATCATAGGGACACCGACGGGACACCGGCGGGACACCGGCGGGACACCGCGGGCCCCGGCCGCCCGGAAGGGAATCATTTGGTCCGGCCGCGCCTCAGCCACACGGGACACCAGCGGGACACCGGCGGGACACCGCGGGGCCCCGGCCGCCCGGAAGGGAATCATTTGGTCCGGCCGCGCCTCAGCCACAGGAGACTTTCCTCTCGCCCGCCCACGCAGCTTCGCCTCGCCCGCACGCACGGCACGCACGAACACGAAACCGAAATCGATTTCCCGGTAGGGGGGCTCTCCGTTCCACTTCGATCTCGCCCCCTCACCTCCGATACTAAATTTACAGGGAGACCGCCGGCTTGTAGAAGTCTCGTTGAAGCCTCCGCAAGGTCTGGACGAGTGTGTATGCTCGTTTCGGCATCCTCCGCTTCTGGTCATCCTTCTCCTCTTCCTCCTCCGCTGCCCTTCTTCCCTTGCCATTTTGGCTCGAATTTCGGATTCTCAGTTCGAGTGGGCAAAATGCCACGCGTTGCACTGAAGAACTTCTGCAGAGTCTCAGAAAATCATCTGAAGAGCTTCTGAAGAGCTGCTGAGCCTCAAATGGTTGTGATGTATAGCCGGAAGAATTCTGTGGAACCCAATGGAATTCTAGAAAGGGTCCAGAGGATTCCCGTGGAACCCTGAGAAAGCTCGAGAGATCATGAGAAATCTTAGGAACCTTGGTACTTCTGAAATCTTGACGTACCTTGCGATGCAGTCAATGCGGCCCAGAGAGGTAAGCGGTCGAAGTAGCGAACCGTCTATGATCGGCCCGATCATAACGGCTTTCTCGGAATTTCCTCTGTTGACTTAATGGCACCCGCTGCGTCTATATACATAATAGTTACAAGTCTACTACCTGCATACTATATTTATATATGTGTCAGAGTGAGGCGGCTGAACCGAACGGTCATTCACTGTCTCTGGGTGCGCTGATTCCGCGATGCGGGTTATTGTTCTTGTTGTTGTTGTTTGTTTGTTTGTTTGTTTGTTTGTTTGTTGTTTGTTTTTTCTTGTTTGTTGTTTGTTGTTTGTTGTCGTCGTCCCACCCGCGACCCGCCCCGCGACCCACCCGCGACCCACCCCGCGACCCTCCCGCGACCCGTCCGCGACCCACCCCGCGACCCACCCGCGACCCACCCCGCGACCCACCCGCGACCTACCCGCGACCCAACCACGACCCACCCCGCGACCCGCCCGCGACCCACCCCGAGACCCGCCCGGCGACCCACTCGCGACCCACCGGCGACCCACCCGCGACCCGCCCGCGACCCACCCCGCGAGCCACCCGCGACCCACCCCGCGACCCACCCGCGACCCACCCCGCGACCCACCCGCGACCCACCCGCGACCCACCCGCGAGCCACCGCGACCCACCCGCGACCCACCTGCGACCCACCCCGCGACCTACCCAAAATTTTCGGCGCCTGCGGCGGGCTTCTTTTGCATCCGCTCCAGTAGGAGAACCTGCGACCCACCCGCGACACAAACCGCGTTCAGTGTAGCCTGCGGCGGGCTGTTTTTGAATTCCTTCCAAATGGAAGTGGAGAGCCCGCGACGCACCCGCGACCCACCGGCGACCCACCCCGAGACCCACCCGCGACCCACCCGCGACTCACCCCGCGACCCACCCAAAATTTTCTGCGCCTGCGGCGGGCTTCTTTTGCATCCACTCCAGGTTGAGAACCTGCGACCCACCCGCGACCCAAACCGCGCTCAGTGTGCAAATCAAAATTTTCGGAGCCTGCGGCGCGCTGTTTTTGAATTCCTTCCAGGTGGAAGTGGAGAGCCCGCGACACAACCGCGACCCAAACTACGTTCATTGAGCAAGCCAAACCTTCGGCGCCTGCGGCGGGTCTTTTTCATTCGTTCCAGGAGGAAGAGGAGGAAGAGGGCGCCATCGACAGGGAAGGTGAGGCCACGAGGTCCGCCGGCTCGACACCCGCGTCGCCCACGCCCGCCCCCTCACTCTTATCCGCAACTGCGTGGTGCTACTGGGTATGATGTTGCACTGCATGCTTCAACACCTCCCTGATCAAGGCAATTTGCCGGGCGATCTGTTTGTGGATGGGCTGGTGGGGATGCGCGAAGCGTCAACAATCCCACCAGCCCTTTGGGCGACAGGTGGTCTGACGAGGGTCTCGTTCCTCTTCCACAACCCCTCTTCCCTTCGGGGAGGGGAACCCTCCCCCTCCCCTCCCTGAGGTTTTCTGGCAGGGATCGCGAGGTGTCAGAGGCTCCTGTTTCGGCCATTTGGGAGGTTTTTTGGGGGGCCTTCCCTCACGAGGATCGTGGCCCCCGAGTGGGGGGCGCAAATCGAGTACCCTCCCTCTTTTGACCGACCGCCTCCAAAATGGCCCCAAGAGGCCCTCCAGGGCTCCCAAGGGGCTCCCAAGAGGGCCCAAAGAGCGCCCCAAGAAGACCCAAGAGGCATCCAAAAAGCGCCCGAGAGCCCCCAAGAGGCCCCCGAGAGGCCCCCGAGGGGCCTCAGATAGCCCAAGATGACCTTCAAAATGGCTCACGATAGCCCAAGCTAGCTCCAGATGGCTCCCAAGATGCCCCAAGACGCCCCAATATCGCTCCAAGAAGGCTCAAGATGGCCACGGAGCCTCCCCAGGAGGCCGCCCTAAATAAAGAAAATCAATGAAGGCCGCCCCCCCCCCCCCCCCCTCGCTGTTTGACTATGCGTATCTCTTCCTCTCTCCCCCCGTCAGCTCTCATGAACATCGTTTCTGGATGGGCTGGTGGGAATATGTTTTTGGTCGCGGCCGCGCAGCAGAGGGCAGGCGGCGAGAAGGATGTCCGGGCCGACGGGCAAACCTGATTAGCTGCTGGGCGCAGCACGAGCCGGCCGGGCCAGCTCACAAAGCAGCAGCTGGGGCAGCGGCGGCGGGGGGCTGGCTGGCTGGACTGCAACGCCCAGGGAAGCTAGGGCATCGTGCAACCGTGTGGCAAACTGGTGGGAATACTTTTTTGATTTGCGGCCCGCAAGGGGAAGTCCAGAGGGCGGAATGAGGCAGTGGGGCGCAATGCCAGATGATTACCATGCACAGACCACTGGGCGAATGCCAGCGGTAGAGAAGCTGCCACGGATGGACAACAAACGAGCACAAGCCAGACCCACAGGTGGGGAAACCGGACTAGTGGCCGGGAGAGAGAGAGAGAGAGAGAGAGAGACAAAAAAAAAAGCAGAGCGGCAGAGGGCGCAGGCGGACGCTACGCGGTCCGCCGCCAGACGCGTGGGGCACCTGGGTCTTGGCAACAGTTTCACAAGTATAGGGGGTGGCTTTCAAAATGTTGTTCTCGCCTTAGCGCCGCACACATTCGTCTTAAAATATTGAAGCAGCTTCGCGGATGGATGGGGTGGTTGTCAAAATGTGGCTTTCCCCTTCGAGCCGCGCTCATTCGTCTTACATATTTGCAACAGTTGTACGGGCAGGGGTGAGGGGCCAAACGCGCGGCGGCTCTCGCCTCAGCGCCGCGCGCATATGTCTTCACAGCTCGCAGCACGCTCGCGGATCGAATGGATCTGGTTTTCAACATGTGGTTTTCCCTGTAGTGCTGGGCGCATCCATCGTCAACGTTTGCAGCAAGTTGGCGGATGGATCCGGGTGGTGTTGAACACGTGGCCCTCCACATAGCGCCGCGCGCCCTCGTCTGACACGTTCGCAGCAGCTTCGCGGATGGGGGGGGGACAAAATGTGTCTCTGCCCTTAGCGCCGCGCACACTCGCCTGAACATCTTGCAGCAACTTCAATGATGGAGGGGGGGGGGGTAGTTTTCAACGCGTGGCTCTCGCCTGAACTTCGCGTACAATCACCCTGAAAACTTCCAACACTTTCACGGATGGAGGGGAGGGGGTGTTTTCAACAGGTGGCTCTCGCCTCAGTGCCGTGTGCACTCGTCTGAAGAACGATTGCAGCACATTGGCGGATCGAGGGGGATGGTTTGCAACATGTGGCTCCCCACGCAGCGCCGCGCGCATTCGTCTTAACCGTCAGCATCCATTTCACGGATGGTGGTGGTGGTGCTGGTGGTGGTTCTTACAACGAGGCTCTCGCCTGGGCGTGCCTTATTTTGACGAATATAAAAAACAACAGCGTTCGCAGCAATTTCAGGGATGGAGAGAGAGGGTTCTCAACGAATAGCTCTCGCTTTAGTGCCGCGCGCATTCGTCTTCCACGCTTGCAGCCGTTCAGCGGATGAGGGGGTGGCGGGTTCTCTTTCGTGCGTGGCTCCCGCCTGGACGTGCCGCGCGCTCGTCCCAAACGTTGGGCAGCACTTCCACGGGCGGATCTTTTTTGGAGGGGCTCTGCAGCATGCTGCCCTCGCTTCGACGCCGCGCGCATTCACCCCAAGACGTGCGCAGCAGCTCCGCGGGATGGCAGGAGCGTTTGGCAGCACTTCCACGGGCGGGTTTGTTTTTTTTGGGGGGGGGGGCTTTGCAGCCTGCTGCCCTCGCCTCGACGCCGCGCGCATTCGCCTCAAGACGTGCGCCGCAGCTCCGCGGGACGGCGGGCGGGTCGTTCTCAGAGCGCGGCGGCCGCCCGGGTGAGCACGCAGGCCCGGCCTCTCGCGGACGCGGGGCGGCTCCTCTTCGACATTGGGGGCGCGCTCGCCCCGGCGCACGGAGGGCGCCTCCCCTCCGACATTGGGGGCGCTCGCCCCCCAGCGCCGCGCGCACCTCGTCTCCAGTGCAGCGCTGAAGCAGCCTGGAGTGAAGGGGCCCCAGGACACACAAATCAGTACGCACAAAGCAGAAGATCCCCAATCTTTTCCAATCTGTTCTGGGTGTTTGTCTTCCCCCCCACTTCCCATATGTTTGCATATTTTCCTGGGAGTCGACGATTGATTGTGTCTGTGTGTTTCTTTCCCTCCTGATGGAGGACTGCCCGTTTTTCGAAGTCGAATTCTCGCCCAAGGCTTCGTGGAGTTCGCGAGCCCGGAACTTCATCGCACCCGGCGCTGCACGAACCCATGACGGCTCTTCTGAGAAGTGCAGCTGCCGCTTGAGACAGCCTGAAAGTTCGTGGCCTCACGGGAGAACCCGTGCAAGAACTATACAGATGGGGAAGGGCTGTCTTCATTGACAGGAAAGCTGTCTCTGGACATCCCGTTGCACTGTATGACATTTTTTTTCGCGGTCAGGGCTGCGCACCAGAAAGATGCAAGGCAGCTCTTTTTCAGCATGAAGCCCTCGCCAAAACAACAGACCCGACACTGCTGGTCTTTCAAAGTAGGAAAGGGTTCTTGCAGTGAGAAGCAGGAAAGAAGGGACTCGGGACGGGAGGGCGTATTGCAACATCGCTTACGCATCATTGGTTTACTCTGGTCGTTCCTCCACCCCTCATCGATCCTCGATCCTCCTCTCCGACTTCTCCTGGGGTGCGTTCTGGCCACGACCTCCAGAGGGGAATCTAGCGGTGGCGACGAGCAACGTGCCGCAAACCCTAACATTGGCGGGGCAGCCCGAAAGCCGTGATCCTCTCGGCTCGGACGAGGGCGGGAATAATGATGCCGATGCTGATGCTGCTGCGCATGATGGTAATGAGGCAGAGGGCTTCTGAGGAAAGCGGGTCCCACGCTTTTGTCGCAGTTCTGCTGGCTCCCATCGCCGTGTCGCCGCTGGACCGTCACACAACGACTAAGCGTGGCCAGCTGGTTTTCATGGGAAGTCGGGTCGGACGAAATGGGTGAGCAACGGCGGAATTGGCGAATCAGCTGCACATGGCTGGCTTTCGCCGCGCCGCTGCATCGTGGACAGCGCCCAGCGGTGGGGCCCGAAGCCATCTGCGCAGCAAATTTCGTACAGTCATCGGCCTGACCTGAGGAACGATAAATAAGGAACAAAGCCCCTTTTTTATCTCAAGGAATGACGCATAAGGAGCGACATATAACAAATTACGCATAAGGAACTGTAAGTAACGCATGCAAGCCTAAGGAACGACCGAGCCCCTTTTGAAAAGTAAGTGTTCCTTATTCAAGCCGCTCACTGTAGCCCCCCATGCCCCCCCTTCGACAGACCCGATCTTCGAACCCCCACCCTCGAACCACGACCCCCCCGAACTGATCGCAGCAGGGGTCCAGGTGTTGCCCAACTTGTCCCTGGCCCAAAGTGTCCCCAGTCTGTCGCGGCATTTTTGCCCCCCCCCCCCCCCGGGGCCTCCTGAACCTCGCGAGTTGTACTCTGGAGGCCGTCTGGGCTTTGCAGGGGATCCTAGCCCAAACATCCGATGTCTTTATTTTTCCACGCTGGTTTCCCGGAAATTTCGACCCTTTCCCCAGGGCCGGCTTTCCATTCCGAATCGTTTTGTGACGGTCGAGGGCCCTTTCAGGCCGAAAGCGGCCAAAAACCTTCCCTAGCGATTTTTCCACGTCGCGAGCATGTCTGGTGAGGGGCAACGTTAGGGGGGTGCGGGCATAAGGGGGGGGACACATCGACCTGGAATCGCCGATACATCGCCGATAGGCCCCCGAAAGATAATCCGCAGGTTCCTGAGCGGGGTGGGGCTAGTAGACCCCCATCGGCGATCAATGGGCGATGGGGGGTCAATTTGTCCCCCCCCTATGCATACAGTGCGGGCTCGGCCGCAAGAAACCCTCGCAAAAAACCCAACCCTGAAAACCCGCTCGCGAGGTGCACCTGAGGGGAAACCCAGAGCACCCTGAACGCAGCAGCTTCATCAACGGCTGCTGGCAGTCGCCGCGCAGCGCGCGGGGCGAAGAGACCCAGGGTGCCCTGACGAAGTGCAGGTGGTTTCTTGATGCACGCCCCCACTCTACCCCGCGCCTGTCGTTGCCCCTGCTGGCCATCGCTCGGACGTCCATTCCCTGTGTTTTTTTTTCGGTTTCGCGCGTGGTTTTGTTCGCCACCTGATCAAGGATGTTCCTCGATGGTCCTCGCCGAAGGCAAAATGCACACGTCCGAGCGATGCCGAGCCTGGGGACACCGCCAACCAATGCCAAGCGAGCCGACAAATAATTGTCCAATGGAGGACCAATTGGAGGACAGCTCGGCCGACAATTCAATATTCAAACATTCAATGGTCCTCGCCGAAGGAAAAATTGCACACGTCCGAGCGATGCCGAGCGACGCCCGCCAACGCGCGTGGCGCGCGCGCGCCTCGATCGCGGCCGATCGGAGCGACTCGGCGGCCATGCCCAGCTCGCGCTGGATGCGCCTGGGGGCGCGAGGCGGCCGTGGACACCCCCGGCGTGGGGCGCCGAGAGGGGGGGGGATCCGAGCGGGGGCTGCGTGGATGGACGGCGAAGAAAAGTGGACGAGGAGGATCGAGGAAGGGGACGAATGAGGATCGAAGAGGGGGGAAACGAGGAGGAGGAGGAGGAGGAGGAGGAGGAGGATCGACCAGGGTGAGAAGGACGAGAGAGAGGATGAGGAGGATGAGGAGGATGAGGAGGAGGAGGAGGAGGAGGAGGAGGAGGAGGAGGAGGATCAATGAGGATGAGGCGGATGAGGAGTAGGAGGAGGAGGAGGGTGGGGATGGCGATGGTGATGATGAGGATGAGGAGGAGGAAGGGGAGGAGAGGAAACATTACCAGGTGATACTAGGTCATGCTTTGCGTCGGACAACCATGTTGTTTCTTCTTCGCGCCTACCATGATAGGAGTGCCGTGCATGTTGGGCACCCCAGCGACAGTGTTAATCTCCTCTTGCCCACATTTCGTGGGACCTCGAACATTTGATGACCCTGGTCAGTAAACGTGGGGTTAGCAAGCTGACGTTCATCAGTTCATGTTTGAAGCGCCGTGCAAGAAAAGGACGACCTGCTTGCTGTGACCCGTAGCGCGCTGCCTCGCAAAATTGTTCTTATCGAACAGAGGGGATGTGATGGGACGCGCCGTCATGATATCCTCCAAAGAGTGGAAGCGGATTGGGCTTGGTGTGCAGGTCGGGCCCATACTCATTCCCCCCTCCTCTGTCACCTCCTTGCCTCCGGCGTCTTTGTCGAGATCCTGCTGAGGGACGGGTCTGTGCGGGGGGGGGGTAAAACATTGAATGTGCCTGCGGCCGGCGGCCGTGACCCTCCTCTTGGTTCCGCTCGATCCCTGTCTCCAAAATGACCGGGGAAACGACAAGTTCAATTGACTGGTGGTGCTCTCCCGCCCCTTGCCCTCTTTCTCCTCCTTGTCCCCTATCCCAGAGCAAGCAGCGGACGCACTCATACCTAACTAGTCGAGCCGACTCGAGTCGGAGGAGGAGGAAGGGGAGGAAGAGGGAAGGTAAGGTAAGGCGCGTGGTTGTGGAGACCCCGCGGCGGCAGCAACACCACTGCCGCTAAAGACCTCCTAGCCTCCGTTCGGGAACACGTGGATGGGCCCCTGCTCTGGCGGGCTTGCCCGCGGGAGTTGGCGGGCGGGGTCTGTGCCTCGCGCCCCGCCGACGCCCTCAGCGGGGGAAGCCTCCCGCTGGTCGACAAACCACTGGGTCGGAGGGGGGTTTGCCACTGGCCCGCGGTAGCAGGCGAATGCCGCCCCGAGGACGACGGACGGGACGAGGGGGGGGAAAGGGCCGAGGCAGGCGGCAGCGGCCGGGGGGGGGGGCGGCAGCCCTCGAAAATGTTGAACGGAGGGGCGCGCGCGCCATCGTCGCACGCCCCATCGCTCCCCCCGCCCCCCCCCCCTAGCGCGCCGCTAGTTGTTGCCGGCTGGTGCATTTCTACAGGCTGCGCTGGCACTTCTTGGGCTTCGCCTCTTGTGGTGGGAGTGGCGGTGGTCGGCGTGCAGTCCGTGTCCCCCGCCAGTGCTTAGTGATGGCCGCTGGCTGTGCCCAGTCGGTCTCGGCAATCCTCGTATATTTTTTCTTGTCTCTGAGCCCTCTGGTCCACACTTGTGGCCACTCGGGCAGTGATCTCGATTCTTCGCTTCGTGGGGCGTGGCCTACTTTCCCGTGCCGCTGAAGTGCGTTGATTTGAAGGGGAACTGGACACACAAATAAATAAACACAAATAACCAGATTCCCCATCTTTTCCTATATTTTCTGGATTTCTGTCTTCCCCACCACTTCCCATATTTTCCACATTTTCTGGGGAATCGACGATTAATTGTGTCTGTGTGTTGTTTCCCCTCCTGATGCGCGAGCTCCAGGCGTGGCCGGGGCAGGGGGGTGCCGCGTGGCTCCTCCCTGGCTTGGCAGAACGAGTTGGCGCGCGCGTCTCGGGCGATGCGCCTGGCGTCTGCCTTGCAGTGCAGACAGGGGGCGTGGCTCCGGGGGCGCCGCATGGCTCCTCGGAGGTCCCCCGCGAAGCATATCGGGCAGGCCCCTCCAGCTTCGCAGGCTTCTTCTCGAGAGTCCAGATCCTCTTGGCGGTTTCGTCCGCGCTGTCCTTCGTTTCGCTGCTGCAGTCCAACCGCAAGCTCTCGTCCTTCCGCTGCCAGTCATAGTGCATCCAGGTATCCGACTCGTCCGCTTTCCATTCGGGCATGACTGGCTCGTCGATCTGCATGTTGTAGTAGTTCGTCTGGCTTAGTGCGATCATTTTCTCCCTGCATTTCGTACCGGTGAGGCCGTTGCAGATCTGGGGCTCTTGCAGATGCCGTTGATCGCCAACAGCTGCTCCTCAATGATGTGGATGCGCTCCTGCTGCGCCATCTTCTCTTTGTCCGTCTTAGCTTCCGCGTGAGGCCCATCTGCAGCATGGCCTTGTGATCGATTAGCGCCTTGGTCTCCGTCTGGATGCCGCTCTGGACCGCCTTCCACGCGTGGCTGGTATGGCGGGAGTTCGCCTCCGCCCTCGTCGGTACGTGGTCCGCATTTCCGATCGCCGTGGGAGCCTGCCATCTTCGTCTGTCTGACTGGCTGTCGGAGTCGGTCGATGCGGCTGCGAGGCAACTCAAAGAGCTTAGGCCTACATGGCGCGTGTCGGACTGTGTTGTATTGGGTTGGGCCGTTCGCCTGTCGTAAGCTGGTCGATTCAGGAATCGGAGCAGATGTCGTCGGAACTCAAAGGTTAAAACTCGGGGCTCAAAAGGACAAACAACGGGCTCTCGGGCTCTGCCGGGATCCTCGGAGGGTCTAACTCACGTTCCCCTGCGTCGCCGTGCCAGGTCATCACGTGCAGATCTGCACAAACTGTACCGAAATACTAATGAACGCATAGTGAACGCCCCCCGCCCCCCACATGAGGAGCTTTAGACAAATTGGACCGTCAACCGACGCATGAACTGCAGGCGAGAATAGCTCGACGGTCAGCCAACGACAACGCCGCGCCATTCCATGCGAACGGCGCGCTGCCGCTGTGCTCGTGGGCGTTTGATGAACTTGGCGTTGCCCTGCGCTCTGGCCACAAGCTCAGCTGGAGCCGGTCTCCAATCGACTGTTGTCCCCAGCCAGGCGAGTGCCTGCCTCGCGTGCCCTCTTGCCCTCGCGTGCGCCCCTCGCCGCCGAGCCCCTCGTCGCCACTGGCGAACAACTCCCGGCCTCGCTCTCGAGCTCCGCGTCGTCCTGCGGGGCTCCCCGCGGTCCAACGATCTCCTGGCTTCGACTCGCAAGGGTCTCCAGCAGGCGGGTCGTCAATTCGAGGGCCCTGTCTCGCTCCAGAGGGACTTGATGACCCGAATTCGCAGGCTGATCTGACCACCGCAAGTCCGACGTGTTGCATGGGGGTGCTCTGCCGAATGTTGAGACGCTGGCGCTTGGTCTCCAAATTTTCCTTCTGAGTGACCAAAGCAACTTGAATCGTCCGGATCATCGCCCGAGCTCCCTCTGTCATTGCGTTTGTGCGCTCCAGCACGGATATCCCTGAGTACACAAGCGATCGATCATCCCGCCAGGCAGGGGCTCTGCTCCCTTCATCTCCTGCAGCTCCTTCCTACATCCCCCCAGTCCTACACAAAGAGGGGCAGACAAGCAGAGAAAGCTGAGAGCCAAACGCCTGTGACTCAGTACCGTCCTGTAGTTCTTCGTAGAGTAATGGTGGTACAGAACGCCGTAGAATTCCATTATATATCCCCGTGCGCCACGGCAGTGCCGTAAAGTAACCGCATACCTGCACACCGCCTACCGCCCACTTCATCACAGCTCTCGTAGACCCCCTTCCCCATGCTGTCTGGGAGGGTGGTCAGTATTGCGTGTTTTCTGGATCGGTAGCACGCTGCATATTCGTACAGCTCATGCATCGTGTTGCCCTTGCTTTGCATTTGCCGCAGGCTGGTGAGTCGTCGCGGGTCCTTGCTCATTTCTTGTGCTAGTGCCTCTTCTCTCTGGATGGGTGGGTGCGCTGGTCCTGGTCCTGCTCCTGTTCACTCCGCCATCCCTTCGACTCCGAAGAATTCTGCTGGGCTCGGCTGGGGCGCTCGCGCTGGCACGCTCCCTGGCTGTCTGTGCATCTACCGCATCTGCTGCGAGCGGAGATGCTTCTCGATCGCCCTCTCGAGCTCCAGCGTGGGGACTGGTCCCTTCGGCTACTTGCCCCCGATTGCCCTCGTGCCGTGGCCCGGGGCTGCTTTTAGTACACGCGGTTGGATGGCGTGGCCGTGGTGTCCATCATCGCCAGCTCTGTGATCGGCACCACGTTTACTGCGTAAATGATATTGCCACGTCGGTCTGGGTCTTCCGAGCTAGGAGGAGGAGGAGAAGGAGGAGGAGGAGCTGGAGGAGGAGCAGGAGGAGGAAGAGGAGGAGGATATGATCTAGCCGTCCGTGCCAGGAGGAGGAAGGGGCGGAGGATGAGGAGGAGGAGAAGGAGGAGGAAGAGGAGGAGGAAGAAGAGGAGGAGGACGAGGAGAGGGAGAAGGAGGATGAGGAGGAGGAGGATGAGGATGAGGATGAGGATGAGGATGAGGATGAGGATGAGGATGAGGAGGAGGAGGAGGAGGAGGAGGAGAGGAGGAGGAGAGGGAGGAGGAGGAGGAGGAGGGAGGAGGGAGGAGGAGGAGGAGAGGAGGAGGAGGAGGAGGAGGAGGAGGAGGAGGAGGAGGAGGAGAGGGAGGAGGAGGAGGAGGAGGAGGAGGAGGAGGAGGAGGAGGAGGAGGAGGAGGAGGAGGAGGAGGAGGAGGATCGAAGACCCCACTTTGCGGGCGCTCTGGAGGCCGCCAGGAGGCCCGGAGGCTCGCGCCGGATGCGCCTGCAGGGGGGCGGCGGAGCTGTCGCGCGTGGGGCCGGGAAGAACGACGATGAGAGGATCGAGGCCGAGGTGGATTAGGAGGAGCTCAGGAGAGGATCGAGGAGAGGATCGAGGAGAGGATCGAGGAGAGGATCGGTGAGAGGATCGAGGAGAGGATCGAGGAGAGGATCGAGGCTGAGGAGGAGCAGGACCCCGCCTGGTCATCGACAACAGATCTCGACAGCCTTCAACCCTTCTCTGCCGTCCCTCCTCCCTCTTCCGCCGCCCTCCTCACCCCCTCGCTTCTCCCCGAATTCTCTTTTCCCCTCCCCCTCCCCCCCCTCCTCCCTCGCCGAGGGCCCGCCTGAAGTACTGCAGCGGGGACTCCTGCTCGCCCTCCCGCTCGTCCTCTATGGGCCCGGCCTTGACGGCGAGCCCGAACTCCTCTATCTCCGCGACCGTGTCCTTGGCCTGCTCCTGGGGGCAGGAGCGGTGCGATGCGTCATGGCGAGCGCGCGGTACGCAAGTGCTCGCCTGGCCACCCTGCCGCAGTCACCGATGCACATCCCTCCCCGACTCTGGCGGGAGCCCACGGGCGCGGCGGTCAACAGCCTCCAGCCCCTGCCGCGTGGCCTGCTGACAAGGGCCGCGGAGCCGTCATTATGCTGCTATGCGCATCGATGAACTGATCCCCCCCCCCCCAGCGTGGGCTGGACCCCACTGTCCGATTTACCCCCTTGAATGGGGATATCGGCTGCTCTCTTCGGGTTCCGAGGGGCATATCCCCAACGGAGGTGATGAAACGGTGGGGCTCGAGATGTGGATGGGGATGGGGATGGGGATAGGTTACCTCCGCAGGCCGAACGATTTTCCTCTCGAGCCCCACATGTCGGAAGCGACGCGCCGTCCAGGTGAACGGATACATGTAGCGCTCTTTTCGAGGTTGGGTGGATATGTTATGGTTGGAGGTGCGGGAGTTGGCCGGGCCCGCTGTGGCGTTCGAGCAAATGGGAGGACTTTCGGGAAATGGCCAGGCCCGGGGTGGCGCTCGAGCAACCGTCACATGTTATGGGAGAAGTGAAGGGAGGTGGCCGGGCCCGCTGTGGCGCTCGAGCTTCCGACTTGGACACTTTGCTTGTGTGTCCTCGCCCTCCCTCATCCCTTCCTCTCCTCCTCCTCCTCCTCCCATTTCCCCCCTCCTCCTCCAACCTCCTCCCTCCTCCTCCTTCCTCCTTGGTCCGTCTGCCTCCCTCCTCTCTCCTCCCTCCTCCTTCTCCTCCTCCTTCTCCTCGTCCTTCCTCCTCCCCCCTTTTTCCCTCATAATTTATCCTCTCTCCCCCCATTCGTCCCCTCTGTTCTCCTTCCACCTCCTCTTGCCTCTTCCCTCATCCGTCCCCTCGTCATCCTGGGAAGACCGCCCTCCCCCGTAGAATCACAGCATGGGTCTGCATATCCACAGCTCCGTGGATAGCATGATGCTTCACTTGCGGTGCTCCGCGGATCCCATTTCCCCTGGGTCCCGGATGTTAATTATTATTATATATTTATTCCCGGGAAATAAATGGATCCATCGTGTTTTCACACTCAGGAAATTGGATCCGCGCAACACAGAAATTGGATCCACGAAGCTCTCCCACACCCGAAAAGGGATCCAATTGGATCAATGGGTTATCTCATATTTCACTCCAAGAGGAAAAAACTGTCGGCCTGGGGATGTAAGCGATACTGATGCTATCCGCAGAGCTCCCACGCGTCGGAACAGCACACCAGGCCCTGCAGTTACTTTTAAGGGCGTGGGGCCCATGACGCTGGGCAGCCACGGGGTGAGACACAGAAGGCCACTTTCTTTGGCCCCGGGACCATCCAGGGAGGGCCCGTCCGCCTGCGCAGGCGATGCACACGCCGCACACGGAGCAGGCCAAGCAGTAGACAGACCTCCTCGTCTCGGACACCTCGCAGAACAGACTCAAGCTGAATTTAGCGAGTGCCCTGCTTCGTGCGCGTTTCGGGGCTCCTGGGAGGTCCTCGTGGCCACGGCTGGATTCGCAACGACATCCTGGTCAGAACGCGGTCCAGGAGCGGTCTGGACGTCGATCCTGAATCGGTGGCTTACTTCGGGTGCCGCAGACATCGCTGGCTGTCTTCGGGGATCAAATAGGGAGAATGCCGTGGCTCCCAGGATGGGGCAGACTGGGGCTGCCAGCCTTCTATGCCGACCGAAAAAACGGACGCCCGCAGGTTAGTCCTGGAACGTCTCTGGGGGGCGCGCGCTGTGTCTCCCAGGGGTTATCGTGCCAGGTTGCCAGAACATGTTCAGAACGATCCTACATGCACGGTGCTTACCACCGAGAAGAGACCTCACGGCAGGAATGTGATGTTTTGAGGCGTTCCTGTACTCAAAGGAGCCACGTGGTGTCCCCTCCTGCTTCTCCCTGCAGCTAAATCGTTTGATTTCCCTCCTGCGGCTATTCTGCTGCATTTGTCCGGGTGCACAGCTGGGTTTTATCACCAACAGCTGCGCACCTCAGCAGCCGCAGGTCAGCGATATATCGATATATCACGGTTAGGCGTCCTGAGGACTCCCAGAGAACATCGCCCGTCTCCCTCCTCAATTGCCCTCAAGCTCCTCCTCCTCCGCCTCCTTCTCCTCCTGCTCCCTCTCCTCGTCCTGCTGCCTCATCTGCACGAGCCCCGCGCTCCCATCGCGCAAGGCGGCAACGACAACGACACAGAGTAGCAAAACAGCGGCCTCGGACACGCGGTCCAACCTTAGAGAACCACCCCATCCCGATCCTCACTCTTCTCCTGCTCGTCATCCTTCAGATCCACTGACTTCCCGATCCTGACCAGGCCGGCCCGGCCCGCTCCGAAGAACGAGGCGCTCAAGCGACCGAAACCGCTCGATCACTCTGGTGCTCCGACCCGCAGCCCTCCTCCTCCTCCTCCTCCTCCTCCTCCTCCTCTCCTCCTCCTCCTCCTCCTCCTCCGCCTCCTCCGCCTCCTCCTCCTCCTCCTCCTCCTCCTCCTCCTCCTCCTCCTCCTCCTCCTCCTCCTCCTCCCCCACCCCGATCGGCCAACTGAATGGCGACCTCCCTTGGTGGAGGAGGAGGCAAACCTGAACTGGGTGGACTCGCGAAATCGGATCGGATTTCATCGCCAACGAACCGTCCCGACTCGAATCGAAATCGAATCGCCGTGCTTATATTTGGTCTGCCCATATCGGTGCAGGATAATCCAACCGACTTGAATTGAATTCGAATCGTGGGCGGTCATGGGCTGTCAACTGACTGATCGATGGGGGTGGAGAACGATGAGGCGGTTGAGGAGACCGAGGCGAAGCAGGAGGCGGAGGTCCTCCTCCTCCTCCTCCTGCCCCTCGTGCGCCTCCCCCTTCTTCTCCTTCTCTTCACCTTGTCCATCGGTCGATCGACCTCGAAATGCCAGCCGAACCCTTGTCGAACCCTCTGGCAAGTCGTCTCGAATCCTCTTGAGAGCAATCGGGAACAAGGCAGCATGTCTTAGCACGTTCGTGGGGGCCTCTGGGGAGTCTCTTGCCTCATACCAAGATGGCCTCTGAGTTTGCTGCCCCTGCGAGTGCCTCTACTTTGCTTACTGCCTCTAGCACTTTCCACTCGGATTGCCAGGCCGTGGTTAACGAATTCTCCAAGGGATCTCAGGATAAGCTGCACCCTCACAAGCCCTACAATGGCCTAATGATGCGGACCTTTCCGTTTGCCTACAGGGCCACCGCCCTCCAGGAAGATGACAGGTCTCTGTCGACTTCTGAGCGTCTGCACATTTTAGGCCAACAGTGCAGCTGACGCTGCGGCAAAGGAAGGTCCTTGTATTCCAGGTGCTCTGATGAAGAGTCGGAGGCTTATTGTGAATGTGGCCGAAGCTTTTACCTCTCTTGCTGCGGATTTGATGGGGCGATGACCTCGCGCAGATCTTGAGAAGGTCGGGGGCTTGTTCTGAAGGTGGCCGAACATCTTCCCTCTTTTGCTGTGAGTTTGCTGCAGCGATAGCATCGCAGAGAACTCGTGAAGGTTCAGCTTGCGGAGCCCGCCCCTGCACCGAGAGATGCTCCACTGAAAACGTGCAGTAAGGACGGGTGGTGCGGACGCATGACCCTTGGAGGCCGAAGTTGGATGTTTGTGGGGCGGCGGGCGACCCAAACCAGAGGGACGTAACGGTACCCTGAGAGGCTGGCCAGTGGAAGCGGCAAACGACGGGCCGCAGAAACAAGGACACACGGGTACCCTAGAGAAGGCGCGCGCCCTCACTCGGCGCGTTAGCTGTCGGCCACCACGCCCTTGGAGTTGGGCTGGCAAATGCTGGCAGTGCAGCGAGTGTCTCGAGAACTCGCGTGCCGAGCAATGCCCTCCGCCGAAGGACTGCTCGGACAAGCTGCGGGTGGACCCGGGGCGCCTGCGAGAGCTCGCTCGTACGCATAGCGTGGCCGACGGCGTTGGCGGGAGCGGCGTCTGTTTCTGCCGACCTTGCCTCCCTCACGCCCCGAAGAGGGGGGGGACCCGTGCCCTCTCGGCCCTCGCCCCAGAGTGTCGGGTCCAGACTGCGGCTCCAGACGCCTTGGTCTGCGGGCACGGCTCGCAGAGAGGGGGCGCCGCCCAGGCTCCGCGGAGGCCTCCGTCCCAGACGATACAAACAAGGGGGTGACGGTGGAGCTGGACGGACTTGGCCGCTTCTGAAGCGGCTCGGCGGCCGTGGATGCCAACACACTTCTTTACGCGTGAAGGAGCCCCGTGGCACGGAGGGGGAGGAGGAGGGGCGGGAGGGGGCTTTTGGACTGCGCCGCTGATGCAGCACATCGCCCGTCAGCAATTTGTGGCACGCAGCTGGCGGAGACAATTTGGCCCAGTCAGGTGGCTGCACGAGAAAGTCGATTACATGACAGTCAGCGAGCCAGTGAAACCTTCAACCGTGGTCAGATCAGCAGCAGCAATACAGGGGCGCGGGGAGGGGGATAGGGGGAGGGAGGGATAGGGGGGGCTGCAGCACACGTCCTCCTCCTCCTCCTCCTCCTCCTCCTCCTCCTCCTTCCCACTCCTCTTCCTCCGGGCGACCCTGCGACTTGATCGAGCCTGGTAGGCGGATCGGCCCCCATCTAAGGGCTCAGCAGGACGGCCACCCTGGTCTGGTACGCCTGTCGGGGGGGGGATATGGGGAGGAGGAAAGGGGAGAGGGAGGAGGGAGGAGGGATGAGGATGAGGATGCGGATGATGATGATGATGAGGAGGAAGGAGGCCGGGGGAGGAAGCGTTTAATGGGGAAGAGGAGGGGGAAGATGAAGCAGAACAAGAAACACATTTGAGTCTGGGGTGCATCAATGATGCGGCAACGCGGGCTATCCCGTCCCAAATCCCCTCTTGTTCGCTGCAGACAGAACCCTATCGAAAGACGAGCGCCCCCATGAGCCTGCTAATCAAACAACAACCCCGTTTTGTCGAGGCCCCCCC